ATATAAGAGGAATGGTTGAGCATTTTTGCAGGTCTGCCTGTCCGTTGGGGATGGAGGTCGACATATATAGGAGTCTCACTAACATCAAGTAATAATGCTATTCCTTTACCCTGCTTGGTCATAGCACGGTAGTGGGAGCTGCCAGCTTCACATGTTTTAACTCTGTCGGAGCACTTTGAAAAAGTGGTCTGTGGTCTCTGGAAAGCTGATGTTGCGTGTGAAGATTACAGACAAGCTTTATCCAAGGAGATCCAGCTCTTGAAGTTGGGAAAGTGGTGCCTCTTCGGTTTTCGAACAAGCAATCCTGTCAGGGATCTGGCTCTCGAGATTCGGGGAACGATGCCTCTTCGATTTTTGAGAAAGCAATCCTGTTGGGGGTCTGGCTCTCGAGATTCGGAGAGCGGTGTCTCTTCGATTTTTGAGAAAGTAATCATGTTGGGAGTCTGGCTCTCGAGATTCGGAGGGCGGTGCCTCTTCGATTTTGGAGCAAGCAATCTTGTTGGGAGTGTTTTCTCGAATGTGAGTAAAGGTTTGGCATGTTTGCTAGTCTACATTGCCACGAAGCACAGAGGTTGACACACAGGGACTTTCCAATTATCCAGCAGTGGTACTGTTCCTTTACCCTCTCTTCAATTTTTGAGAAAGTAATCATGTTGGGAGTCTGGCTCTCGAGATTCGGAGGGCGATGCCTCTTCGATTTTGGAGCAAGCAATCTTGTTGTGAGTGTTTTCTCGAATGTGAGTAAAGGTTGGGCATGTTTGCTAGTCTACCTTGCCACGAAGCACATAGGTTGACACACAGGGACTTTCCAATTATCCAGCAGTGTTACTGTTCCTTTACCCTCTCTTCGATTTTTTAGAAAGTAATCATGTTGGGAGTCTGGCTCTCAAGATTCGGAAAGCGGTGCCTCTTCGATTTTGGAGCAAGCAATCTTGTTGGGAGTGTTTTCTTGAATGTGAGTAAAGGTTGGGCATGTTTGCTAGTCTACCTTGCCACGAAGTACAGAGGTTGACACACCGGGACCTTCCAATTATCCAGCAGTGGTACTGTTCCTTTACCCTTATGGGTAATAATATGGTAGCTAGACCTTCAAAATTTATGTGTCTAAACTTTGTTAGTGTTGTTTCTTTGCTATTCTTTTACCCTTCTTGGTCAGAGCGATGTAGTGAGAGCTGCAAGCTTCACGTGTCTCAACTTTGTCAGATAACTTTGGCAAAGTTATATGTGGTACCCATGAGCTACTGTTGCGTGTGGGAAGTGGGTGATTGAACAGTACGATTCATGTGTTTTCTACTTCACCAGAAATCTTCGACAGAATGCCCATAATTTCCGCAAAGCTGAGTGTGCGTGTGGCAGGTGCTGACAAGGCTGGAAAAGTATGTGCCTCTTCGATTTCTGAAATCGGCCCTCGTGGTCTCTGAGCAGCCCAGCTTTTGAGAAAGCAAGCCTCTTCGATTTCTGAGATCGGCCTTCGTGGTCTTTGAGCAGCCCAGCTTTTGAGAAAGCAAACGCCTCTTCGATTTCTGAGATCGACCCTCGTGGTCTCTGAGCAGCCCAGCTTTTGAGAAAGCAAACGCCTCTTCGATTTCTGAGCAGGCGCCTCTTCGATTTCTGAAGCTTCGTCGAGTGCAGATTTTTATAGGGGCTGGCATTAAGTTCCAAAGCACACTTGAATCTCCACCAGTAGAAGCTTCATTCTTGCACTTCTAAGATCTTGATTTGTCCGACCTCTTCTCTCTTCAACACCTTTGAAAATGTCTGGCCCCTCCGACCGTCGTTTTGACTTGAACCTTGTTGAAGAGACAGCCCCGCCTTCTCCAGACAACATATGACGCCCATCATTCGTCTCCCCTACTGGTTCTCTTACCGTTGGGGATTCCGTGATGAAGAATGATATGACCGCTGCGGTAGTGGCCAGGAACCTTCTCACTCCCAAAGATAACAGACTACTTTCCAAACGGTCTGATGAGTTGGCTGTTAAGGATTCTCTGGCTCTCAGTGTTCAGTGTGCAGGTTCTGTGTCTAATATGGTCCAACGCCTATTTGCTCGAACCCGCCAAGTTGAATCATTGGCGGCTGAAGTGATGAGTCTCAAACAGGAGATTAGAGGGCTCAAGCATGAGAATAAACAGTTGCACCGGCTCGCACATGACTATGCTACAAACATGAAGAGGAAGCTTGACCAGATGAAGGAATCTGATGGTCAGGTTTTACTTGATCATCAGAGATTTGTGGGTTTGTTCCAAAGGCATTTATTGCCTTCGTCTTCTGGGGTTGTACCGCGTAATGAAGCTCCAAATGATCAACCTCTGATGCCTCCTCCTTCTAGGGTTCTGTCCAGTACTGAGGCTCCGAATGATCCCCGTCCGGTGCCTTCTCTTTCTGGGGCTCTACCGACTGCTAAGACTTCTCCTAAACAACATTTGTGAAGGCTCCCTCTTGTTTGTTTATTTTGACTCATGTATATGTACATATTTGTAACTTATCAGGGATATCAATAAATAAGTTTTCCTTCATTTCAACGTATTGTGTTAAATACACCAAAGCCTTCTTCGCTAAGTTCTTTGAATTTTCTTTTGTTGAAGTTTGTATGTTGAAGCTTTATGAGTGGAGCATGTAGGTTGAGGTAGTGTTCCCTTAATTTCCCGAGTGAGGAAAACTTCTCGGTTGGAGACTTGGAAAATCCAAGTCACTGAGTGGGATCGACTATATGAATCTTAGAACGCCATTGTGTTCTGTCCTGTGTCATGTCCTCCGTTAGATCCAAGTACTCTAAGTCTTTTCTTAGGGTCTCTTCCAAAGTTTTCCTAGGTCTTCCTCTACCCCTTCGGCCCTGAACCTCTGTCCCATAGTCGCATCTTCTAATCGGAGCGTCAGTAGGCCTTCTTTGCACATGTCCAAACCATCGTAACCGATTTTCTCTCATCTTTCCTTCAATTTCGGCTACTCCTACTTTACCCCGGATATCCTCATTCCTAATCTTATCCTTTCTCGTGTGCCCACACATCCAACGAAGCATCCTCATCTCCGCTACACCCATTTTGTGTACGTGTTGATGCTTCACCGCCCAATAATTAATCATCACACCAAAAACAAAACAGGACCAAAAAAACAATTAAAATTCTATTGGAAAAAGATTTAAGAACAAAAACAAAAATTATATACCTCACCCAGAAAGGGCTTGCAAGCTTGTACAATAAACCCTTAAAATTCGAAGGCCAACGTTTCTTGAAACAAAAAAATGAAATTAGATCAAACATCCACACACAAAGTACGAAAAAAATTAAGAAAACGCTCAAAATGGAAGACATTTCCAGCAGCTTCACAAAGCAGGGTGGATATAGATGGAAGACCAAACCTCACGATAACCGACACGTGGGCTGAGAAACAGCCGCTTAAACTATGAGGAACTGAAATAAGGAAGATAGCACCCAGCAAAGGGCATAATCGACTTTTCAATGCACAAATGTGCAAACAAAAAGGGAACTAAGCTGAAACGGAAATGGTGCGTTTGGTACGTTGGATGGGACAGAACGGAGTGGGATGGACGTGTTCCGTCCCATGTTTGGTGCCCTAAATTATGTGGAACGCGCTGTCCCACGGAAAGAAAATGGGTTAAATTTTGGTGCCACCTCCCCTCTCCCCCGGGAACGGGTTGTTCCATCACGTGGAACACAAAAATCATAAAATTTTAAGGCAAAAATACCCCTTAGCTTTTTCAATATTTACACCATCTATATCATACGACAAACCCTAACTATCATTTCTCTTCTCTCTGTCGCTGTGAACTTATTCATCCTCCTGCATCTCCCCTTCGCAACCTTCCTCCTCATCCTTTTCCATGTAGCTTCTCTGTGAACTTTCAGCTCTGCATCTCCGTTCCAGGTTCAATCTGATAGTGATTGTGTAGTCTCTCGATCTCTCTTTCTTTGTATTTTGTAGTACTTTCTCTCTTGGTTTGGTGTTTGCTGTTGCTTGAAGTGGCATTATTATTCTTTTCTGATTTGCTTGCTTCGATTTCATTAACACCCAGTTCCTAATTCTGCTGAAATTCTTTGTATTTTTTAGTGCTTCGATTTCTTTGTATTCTTTTCTGATTTGCTTTTTTTTTTTTTTTCTTTGTATTTTGTAGTGCTTCGATCTACCCAATACTGCATCTGAAACCAAAGATCCGCCTCTGTTTATCTCATTCCACTCCCCCTATTGAGCAGTACTACATTCAGAGGTATCTCTCTATCTGGTTTTCTAGTGTTCAAGTTTCATTTTTTATGTGCTAAAATCTATAAATCTGATGTCTTTGGGTTCTGTTGGATTGGATTGGGTTACATGTTTAGGATTTTCCTATGTTGGATTGGATTCTATGTTGGAAGAATCAAGTAATTTGAGGGTTTTTCTTAGGGACGAGTAACTTGTTTGCCTCGAATATTTTTTGTTCTTTCTTTACATTAATATTTCTGCAAAGTTCTACATCTTGCAACATATTTTATTTGATTGTATTCACCGTACCTATTACTTATCATCGTGAGTTTTGTTATAGTTGATCAGTATGTCTAGTGAAGAACAGCATTCTTTGGTTGTTCAGTTAGTGGAAGGAGCATGTTTGAATTGTTTTAATGACCTTAGATGCGTTTTTATAACAAAGGTTAAAGAGAGACCAATGTTGTACCGTGTATGTGTGATGTGGCCCCAAGTTGATAGTTATTCTACCACTGGCTTTTAGAAATAAATGAAGTTTTTTTATAGCAAGGAAAGATATTATCTTCCTATCTTGAAATTTCTTCTCCCACAGATTGATCGGACGAATACGTAGGATTTTTGTATTTAACCTCAAACTGTTAATAATAATGGCCTGGCCCTGTCTTGAGTGGGGGATAATAAGCTAAATTGTTACACCCCACCCTCCTTCTTTTTATAAAATATTGTTTTGGGCCTTAAATGGTAAGCCCAAGGGGCCCACCCTGATTATGTCCTCCATTTCCCACATCACCTATCCCTATCATCTCTCTTTCTCTCTGTATTCCCTCAGTCTTTCTCGAAACTAAATCTCTCATCTCTCTCCCGTATCCCTCGCATCCCTCCCGTGAACACGCACGCACGCACGAAGGAAAAACAACACAGGAAACCTCCGGCGAATCTTCTTTTTTTCCGGCTAGGTAAGCCTCCGATCGTTCTCACTCAGGGTTAAATTGTGTTTGATTGAGAAATTGGAAGTGACTTTCATGATTTTTCTGAGGTTTAGGTCGAGATCGACACACGGGGTGAGCACACCCATTTCTCCGACGAACCTGTGAGCGCCGTGGACTTTTCTGAGCAAATCCGGTCAATTCAATTCGATTTGAAGGTACCAAAGTACTCCCCTCTTCTTGTACTCCATTTTGGTAGCTAGATTGGAGCACTAGACCTCCGTTTGTAGTCAGCCAGAGCTGTAGCAGCTTCGGTGTCCTCTGGTTTTTCCCCCGGCGCACCCAGGCCTTCGGACCGACCCAAACCCCCTCAGGCCTTAGGCCCGTTGCAAACCCAGCCCATTTTCTTTTATTTATATTTTAATTATTTTGCTTGTTAATTCACAAGGCCTTTGGGCCATTTTATTTTGGGCATTAGGCCCATTGCTAGCAGACCCAGTTCCCTAGCTCGTTACATTTTTTTATTTTAGTTGGGGCCTTCGGCCCGTTCAATTCGAAACCCAAAAGCCCTTAGGGCCTTGGCAGCTAAAACCCAAACCCTAGGCTTAAAGCCTTGGGCCGAGAAGACCAGGGCCTTTGGCCCGTGTAACCCAAACCCAGGGAACCCTTTTGGGTTCCTTCAATTAGGGCCTCTGGCCCGTGACCCAAAAACCCAAACCCTATACCCAGATCCAAATCCAATCCAAAACTCGGTTGACCCGACCCGTTGACTTTGACCCGTTGATCGTTGACTGTTCTGAGTTGACTTTTTGGATTTCGTTCAGGACCCCTCGTAGGTTAATTTCCCTCGTAGGTTAATTTCGACGTCTTAGATCCGTTTTTTAAGTCTGTTTTCCTAAATTAAATCATCTGAATAGAGTTTGACTGTGTTGAACCCTTTATGTGCTTAAGTGCATATATTGTGGCACTGTTTCTTCGCTAGCAGCGCGGCTTTCGACGGCGAAGTACTGTGAGTGACCCCTTTCTAAAAATGCATGTTTTATTAGTAGAAATGCATACATGAGAAGCATGAGTTTATGAGAATGTTTATGAGATGTATGTGCAATGGTTCTATATTACCTAGTGGTCCCAATTTCCGCTACGGGATGAGAGATAGATTCCGGTCCATCCCAAGCGACGGAGGAGTTGGTATAGGGCCTGGAGTGTGTTTCCTCTGGCTATTTAGCACATGGACGGGGAGCTGGCATAGGGCCTGAAGCGATATTTTCCTCTAACTGTATGCTCAGGGACGGGGAGATGGCATAGGGCCAGGAGGGATATATGTGAACATTTGACACTAGTGATTATTATATGCAAATCATGAATTGAGATATTGTACGACGAGTTATGAATTGAGACATTGCATGGCGAGTTATGAATTGAAATATTGCACGACATTCTAGGTTTCGATAAACCTATGTTTATCATGATATATATGAGTTTTCATAAAACCTGCGGGATAGTATGTTGATAATTGTTTCTTATATGTATATCAAATTGGTCCACTCACCTTTGTTTTGCGCCCCCTTTAGGGCTTAGATTCGAGGCATACAATCCCGGCGTTAAGACACTTCTGCATTGGCATCTTTGAGTCCTCTCATTGTAGGATCCACTCCTTTTGTTATTCAATTTATATTCTTTCTTTTGTAATCTATATTAGACGTATGCTCTGGACAGGGTTTGTTGTATCTTGTTTTGTTTTGTGTTGGCAGTTGAATATTATTTTAATGTAATTATGTTTCTGCTGCTTTACGTTTAATTGCTATGGTTTGAGCTATATTATTCATGCTTGTGAGCATTTTATGGGTTTTTACTTTAATCGAATGGCTTACGTCACCCCTCGGGTGTCGGCCAACACGTGACCATCTCGATGTCTACAGGACATCGGGATCGGGGCGTGTCATAAATGATCGTTAATAGTATGGCTCACTATTTATTGCAGTACTGCTGGTATGTTTTAATAATGTAGTCACCTATTTATGTAAGGTCTTATAGTGTATTGAGTTCAGACTGCCATATTTGATGCTTGAATATTCTTAACTTCAGCATATGCAAAACTTAGAAGTCATTGTTAAAGCTGGTACATTCTTGTTGTTCGGACTGCCATCTTTTAATAATGTAGACTGAACTGCATTTGGGTCATATAGCATTACTCGAATCCTCATATGGTATCACTCAGATTTTCAGTGCATGACAAAGTTGATGCTCCACTTTAAGAATTGCAATTAGGATATGAAGCTCCACTTTGTTTTACCATTTAATCATATGCTTGTAATTGAATCCCACGTATGTTGATGCTCCATTCATTCATGTGTTTTTTTTTCATGTGAAGGTATAGATGAATATGAGACTAAATTTTTTGTATCGAGTTCAGGCCATGGGTCTCCCATATGATCAAGTGCTGAAAATTTCAATAAAAATTAGTGAAAAATACTGATATGTTGAGTATTTGGTGTACCCTGGATGACTCTCACAAGGCAGATTTCATTAAAATATTTATGGATGACATCTGAGCATTAGGGGGTTTAGTATGATATGAATGAACTATATCAACTTCTGGGGTTTAGTAAGACATTATCTTTCTTTTCTTTTTTCTTTAAGTCAAGATGAATGTTTAATTTGGGATTTCATGTTTAAGCTCTGGATATTTCATGTTTATTGCTTTAGCAAGATAATATCATTAAACTTCTATATTTTTCATCCTTGCATGACAACCATTGCCATAGACATCCAATTGACTCACATCTCAACTTATAATATACATATTGTTTGACACAATTTGCATTTCAATGTGATGATGAAGAGATGAAAGCAGATTGTGTCAAAGATTCCAACATAGCCATTGCATCAACGGTTGTTCTACCACACCAACCTTTTCATATGTAATTCATCACATATACATATTGTGGCTACACTGCCATGTTCCAAAGTGCCAAGCCAATGGCATGCTCTCACCATATTATTTTTTTAAATCACATAAAATTAATTGACGTATTATCCCACTAAATTAATTATATGAGCAACATAAAGTACAAATACATGTCTCTTGTTTTCTGTTATACACGGTATGAAATATGAACACATCCAAGTATAGTGTACAAAATATATCATAGATAAGCAGCAGCAAGAAGGTGAAAAAATAATGAAATTGTTCCGTCCCATACCAAGCCTAAATATTGTACCAAACAACAGACGAAACAGGGGTAAGTTAATCATTTTATTCTTTTGGTTCCGTTCCGTCTTGCGCTTACCAAACCCACAACGGAACAACTTTCCCGTTCTGTCCTGTACATACCAAATATAACATGGAACCACTGTTTCGTCCCGTCTCATCCCGTCTTGTTCCCTTTCGTCCCGTCTGCGTACCAAACGGTACTAAAATGAACCAATATAGGAGGCAGATTTTCTGCCCTCCCAATTTCAGTGCTCTCCCGTGCCCTCCTGTTTGTGTGGTCAAGGTTAAGTCAGATCAACATTATATATTACTATTCTTTTTTGTCTTATTATCTCTATTAAAAAATAATATAAAATGTTGAAATGATTTAACCGTGACCACACAAAACAGGAGGACACCGAAATTAAGAAGGCAGAGAATGTGCCTCCACCAATATAAACCCCAAAAAGTAAACAACATGATCACCAACACGTGGCACAACCAATTCTCACCTTCTCCCTGCAACAGGCGACATGGCAAGAATGCAGGGAAGCAGGGGAAGTCAGGAGAGAAAAAGGGGACAAATATCTCAATTTTTAATAATTGTTTTGTCCATGTAATCTTTTTTTTTGGGCAAATAATTTTTTTTATACGTGTTGTTAGGGGTGGGTTCAGTTTTTTGCCAAAACCGAAACCGAACCGAAATTTCGGTTCGGTTTATTTTTTTTTCGGTTTGGTTTTTTCCGGTTCGGTTTCGGTTTTTTTTACATCATGGTTGGGTTTTTAAAAAAAAACAAAGTATACACAGGGTTAATCTTTGTTTGGTTCTTGAGAAATTGGGTTTAAAAAGTAATGATATTTTAAATTCTCTTTTTCTCAGTATTATTTATTTAATTATTTGTTTTGGATATTTTTTTTTCACATCAAGCAAACAAACAAAGTATACATAGGGTTAATCCTTGTTTGGTTTCTTAAAAAATATCAAGGAAAGTCCTAAAACTTTTGAGCAAAATAGATCACTCAAACATTACATGATTATTAATAAAGGGCAAACAAAGCAGTAAAACCCAAATCACAAACAACCATCAAATCCAATAGTATGTTTAGTTTTCTAAGAGAATGCAGTGAAAGTTTCAGTCTTTTACAAAGTCAAGCAACAAAAAATAAAATTTAAAATGTTTAACTCTCTCTCTCCCCCTCAATTTTTACTCAGCAGAGATATGAAAGTAAATGGACTGGAGTGCAAAGAGAGAGAAGTTGTACAAGTAAATTTGATTACCCTATGATTATTACTCCAAATCACTCATAATTTCAATTCAAACAATAAAAAGACAAACAAAGAAGAACATGATTGATCAAGAGACAAATGGAAAGCAACTGGTTTAGTGATGAAACAAACAAACCATAAATAATTAGAAGTAAAATTGGAGTGTGAGAAAAATGAGAAAAGGGTAGTAAGTATTTGGTAACACATTGGGCTTACAACTTGGGTTTAAAAAATAATATCCAAAACAAATAAAATTGGGTTTAAAAATATTACAAATTGGGTTTAAAAAACAATACCCAAAACAAATAATTAAATAAATAAAATTTAAAAAAATATTAATTTAATTAATTCGGTTCGGTTCGGTTTTTTCAATTCGGTTCGGTTTTTTTGTTCGGTTCGGTTTCGATTCGGTTTGATTTTCGATTTTTTTCGGTTTTCGGTTTTTTGAACCCACCCCCTATGTGTTGTTTGCCACAAACCATTGCAGGCTCGGCGTGGAAGACAAAAAAAACAGCAAAACCAAAAAATAAAATAACCAAAAGGCAAAGCAATGGAAGACAGGTGGGCTTCTCAAAATTTTTAATAATTATTTTGCGAATGCATCTAATTTATTTATAATTTTTTATTGTGTTTTGTGCCACAATGGCGACAGGGATTGCATGGAAGTGTGCGAGGGGAAGTCAAGAGAGAAAAAGGAAATAAATACCTAGAATAAAAAAGGCAAAACGGCAAAGCCGAGCAACACGCGGGAAAAAAAATAAAAAAGATAAAGGAAAGGGCTAAAAACGACATTTCATGTAGCATCTTCAAAATGCTAAACAATTATACATACTACTAGGAGCCTTTGAAACGGCTGGTTGTCATTTACTTCGATAGGTTTTGCTGAACAATTATACATACAACTAGGAGCCTTTAACCTTAAGGCACTTACTAAAACCAGCTTTCTCACTTCTTCCTGACTGATATCTTCTCTGACAAGTAATCTCGGTTTCCCTCTGGATTTTCACCATTGTTTCGACATCCTATAATTCAGAAACGGAAGGACGAAGGTAAATGGAATCGAGTTACACAGTCTTAAACGGTGAAGGCTCACTCGCAATGGTTCAGGCAGGACTAGACGTAGTACCTCTCAAATGCGCACCCATTGTGTCGTCCTATAACGACAAGATCCGCCCTCTTCTGGATGCGGTAGACAAGTTACGCAGCTTGAAGGTGATGGATGAAGGCATTCAGCTGCCAACGATTGTGGTGGTCGGAGACCAGTCATCCGGGAAGTCTAGCGTGCTCGAATCCTTGGCCGGCATCAGCCTACCTCGGGGCCAAGGCATCTGCACGAGAGTGCCTCTTATTATGAGGCTGGAACACCACTCGAGTCCTCAGCCTGAACTTTCCTTGGAGTACAATGGCAGAGTTGATCGTACTGATGAAGAAAATATCGCCAAAGATATTGTGAAAGCGACTAATTCTATTGCGGGGGGAGGTAAGGGAATTTCAAACATGCCACTTACTTTGTTGGTGAAGAAGAATGGGGTTCCGGATCTGACTATGGTTGATCTTCCGGGAATCACAAGGGTTCCAGTCCATGGCCAACCTGAAAATATCTATGATCAGATCAAAGATATGATCATGGAGTATATTAAGCCGGAGGAAAGTATTATTCTGAATGTATTGTCTGCTACGGTGGATTTTACTACTTGTGAGTCAATCCGGATGTCACAAAGTGTAGATAAAACTGGTGAGAGGACGCTCGCTGTGGTTACGAAAGTGGACAAGGCACCGGAAGGACTACTTGAGAAGGTCACTGGAGATGATGTAAACATTGGTCTTGGTTATGTCTGTGTAAGGAACAGGATTGGTGACGAAACTTATGAGGAGGCAGCGGTGATGGCTCATGAACTATTTCAAACCCATCCTCTGCTTTCGAAGATTGACAAGTCCATTGTCGGCATTCCAGTTTTAGCACAGAAGCTGGTCCAAATTCAAGCAAACAGCATAGCAAGAAATATACCTGAGATAGTGAAGAAGATCAATGACAGGCTGAACTTCTGCATTATGATGCTGAACAAAATGCCAAAGAGTCTTTCGTCTGTTGCCGAGGCAATGACGGCCTTTATGCAAATCATTGGCTTGGCTAAGGAATCGCTTAGGAAGATTCTTTTGAGAGGAGAATTTGAGGAGTACGCCGAAGATAATCGCATGCACTGCACTGCTAGATTGGTTGAGATGCTCAACCAGTACTCGGATGAACTTCACAGATGTGCTGAAACTGATGCAAAGAGCAACTTCTTGATGGAGGAGATCAAGATCTTGGAGGAGGCCAAAGGTATTTCACTTCCGAACTTCCTTCCACGCAATGCTTTCCTCATTATCTTGCAGGCAAAAGTGAATGAAATTTCGAGTATTCCGATTGCATTTGAGGAAAAAGTGTGGAACTACATTGAAGAGGTGGTTATTTCTGTGTTGATGCATTATACGGATAACTATCATCAGCTGCAGTTATCAGCAAGGCGTGCCGGCCATAGTCTAATGGCCAAGATGAAGGAGAGATCAATCAAGTGGATGCTGGAGCTTGTAGAGATGGAAAAGCTGACAGATTATACATGTGATGGTGATTATGTTTCCGAATGGAACAAGTTGATGGCTAGTCAAAACGAATTCATTCATGGAGTCTTAACTGATGAGAAGAAACCTTCTATCATAGATATAGTAGGCATCGGGGAAGTGGAAGTCGGTGTTCTGAGGAAGTACCCGCATGTGTTAGCTCAAGCTTATGACCTTAAAATGAGAATGATTGCCTATTGGAAGGTTGTTTTGAGGAGGCTTGTGGACTCCATGGCATTGCACTTGCAGCTGTCTGTTTTCAACCTTGTGAACAAAGAGATGGAAGCTGAGATTGTGAAGGAGTTGATGGGACCTTACGGTGGGGGAATTGAGAGGATGTTGGAGGAGTCACCGGCAGTAGCAGTAAAGCGTGAGAAGCTTAACAGAAGCATAAAAAAACTGAGGGATTCGAAGGACGTGGTGGCCAAGATTATGGACAGCATTATCACTTATGGTGATTAACTAACTTGCGAATTAGTTTTGAGGGTACTAAAAAATGGTCAAAAGAAAAGTATGCAGTCTGTTTTCTTATGTCGTTGGTTGTTTGTTTGTCAACTTTTGTTTCAAGTTTTTCATTTCCTTTGTGTTCTTGTTATGTGGTAATTATATGGTTCTGGTAATCCTTGTCAAGTTTAATGTTTTCAATGAAATTTAACTGCAAATTCATCCTACCAGCAGTCAA